TTAGACTATGGCTCACATGGGTTCTGCTTCATGCTGGACCAGCCTTCTCTAGAGGAACATTGTTTTTCTTGTCGCTAGCTTCATCTCAGGAATGCCAGAAGTGTTACGACCACTATGGTCACGGCCTCAGCTTGTGTATGCCTCATGGCTGATAGGACCGAAATCACTTGCAGATGAATGCGCAGCTTGCATGTCAGCGTTGAGGGGCGAACTTTGCTTACGACATTTTTCCCACACCCTAAAACCTATAGACCCTAGGTCATTTCCTGAAACATCTCCAAGGTCTTGCATCACAATGATCTTCGTACTCAGATCTTAATTACTGTACATGAGCGAGCGGTTTGGGCCTCCTCAAGAATGTGGTTAGCTTTACTGCAGGTATCATATTCGTGGGGACAACTTTGGGGTATGCAAAGGGTCTTAATTGTGTGAGGAAGCTTAAGTATGGGTGATTCCTTGACTCGAGACCCATGAGGGCAGTCAAACGTCTGATTTTGCCTTGCTCTCTCTCTCTCTCTCTCTCTTCATGTCTGTGCCTCTCTTTCTCTCTGTCTCTCGCTCTCTATCTATCTCCATCTCCATCTCCATCTCTATCTCTCTGTCCTTGGTGCGGGGTCCCTTAGCACAGCATCCTGAATCTCGCAGTCCTCACTAGACAGAATGGATCCCTCAAAGACAACCTTTCGAACCCAAAGCCCCAACAACCCTGCGCCCCTACTATTACTATTACTATTACTGTTACTGTTACTATTCCTATTATTATTACTATTACTATTACTAAACCCTAATCCCTAAACCCTATATACCCCTATATGGATCCCTATAGACCCCTTTAAAGGGTTCCATTTTTTGGATCCTTTAGGGGGTCTGGGTAAAGATGCAGAGCGACTCAAGGCCTCTCGAGCTGTCCCTCCGCAGCGGCCTGTGACCTGGCTCCCTGGGAAGGTTTCTCCTGTGCCAGGCCACTTTTTTTTATGTTTTGGGGATGTGTTGGGGATGTTTTGGGTTTGGGATTTCGGCTCTAGGGTTCACATTAATATGGTGGGGGGTGCAGGGTTTAGGATTTCTTTACTCGATGCAGCTAGCTGCGCCTTTCCACTTCCCCTACCGTCGCACCCGTATATAGGGTTGCGTAAAAAAGGGAGCTATGAAGAAAAGGGAGACATGGGGATTACCAAGGGCTTATGGGGGTTCGTACTAGTGATTCTAAGGGTCAATTTTCTAAACTTCCATATCATTGTGGTCTCGCAGTAGGAGACTCCACGACTCTTAGCCCATTCATAGAACACCATGCATACTATAAACCATAGCTGCGATGCATAGCTTCATAACACCAAACTCCCGGCCCCGAATCCTGAACCCCAAAGCCAAAGCTATTTAAACCCTAAACCCCAAAGCCATACTAGAAACCCTAAAGGCCCCTAGTATGGACCCCTAACCATGGGATCCTTATATACCCACTACATACCCTATACGCACTTTATGGGTCCCTAGAATCCCTCTAAAGGGCCTCAGGGCCCATGTTAGGAGCCCATACTTCTAACCTTAGAAGAGCATGGTCCCAGAGGGATCCTGGTAAGGTTGGTCTGTAGCCTCTGAACTTACCTGTTCCTACTCCTCCATGAACCTGAAACCCCTAAGCTGTACCACCGCAACCAGTGATCCTTGCTGCAATCGTTCCTGTGCCCAGAGCTCTATGGCTTTGTTGGTCAGTTCTCTTATGGGTTTCCGTTACTTCTCTTATGATGGTTGCCCTTGAAAAGAGGGTTCCTATCCAAGTTCTATTGGTAGTACGATCGCTATTCCTGCAGGTTAGTCTCGTTGTGAGAGATTGCTCTAACATTTGTTCACACTGGAGGCCATCTTTCTTATCCTCAACTCAAACAAGTTCTTACCCAGCGCCAGAGTTGCTAGTGGTCATAATCACCTCCTAACAATATCACCCACCTCCTAATAATGGAGACCTCAAATATAGTTCCTCTCTGCAAGGCGTGGAGTATTCATTATCAGGGTCGTGGGGTGGATTGTTATTGGGGGAGAAAGAGTGGGCCTTTCTAGCAGGGATCCCAGTCGTTCGTACTCAAGGCTGTGTGGGAGGTAGGAGCTTTTTGCTACGCTTAGTGCATCTCGAAGTGTTTGAGTACCGGTGCGTCTATACATGGAGTACCATTGAGGTAACCATGCATGAAAGTTCCGATTACCCTGTATGGGACCCTGTGCCCATCATATGAATCCCATAGGGTGCTTACGGACGGTGGAGGGGGTACCGTGACCCTCTTACTATGTATAACCCCATACTGCGAGCCTGAGGTAACACGGCTGCCGGATGCAGCTACACAACACCTCAAAGTTTGAGCCGAGATGACTTGTCGGCCACAGGAGACACGGCAAACCCTGAACCCCAAAGAGCTTGCTATAAAACAAGAAGAGCATGAATGACGGCTGCTATGATTACCTTATGTTCCCTGTACGGTTATCGATGGCTTACTCCGTCCCGAAGCCTGAGCAGCCATCTACTCGTGGTAGACAAGCAGCCAGTGCGCAAATAGATGTGCATACCACAACAATGCTGATGTTGTGGGCGGGTCTTCCCTCCGTTGGGCAACATGAGAAGTCGGGGGACGACGACTAAACCGTAAGGTCTAAACTCTCCTCTGACTCCTGATACGGGGCTCCCAACATCAGCGATGCCTTTTGGTGGGTCGCCAGAATAAGGCGTGTAGGATCTCGGGGTCTATATTGGGGTCCCCTGTTTTGAGAAACTAGCAACCCTAAACCCTAAACCCTAAACCTAGCGCATCAGTCTGACGGTTAGACGATAGTTTCCTTGGCTGCATGAACTGCTCAAACCCAGCTAAGCTCCGAGGTGTGAGCTAGGTGTTTAGGGTTTTGGTTTAGGATAATGTCTTCCCCCTGATATCGAACCCCCCACCCCCTCTAATTTTAGATACTCCCATTATGTGGTATGTTATAATATATCGGGAGTATTTAGTATCATGGGTTTGTTCTAATGTTCAGGAGAGGGGATTAAGAAGGACCCTGCACCCACCAACGGTGACCACAAGGGGTGGTGGTACAGAGATGATGATTGCTATTACATATTCCTGCTGTCTATTGCTAGTGGGTGGAAGCATCACCTGACGCATCAGCTTCAATCGGGGCTGCGTAAGTCCCGTTCCTCTCCTGTTTCTTTGCAGCACGCTCAATCTGACTTGTTGGGTTACATCGAAAGGAGATCCTCCTACGGTAGGCCGGTTGATGCACAAAATGTCAAGCTGGTTGAGCACAAATCGCACATTCTACCAAGATAAGCTATGCTTCCTTGGCAGAGAACATGGTAGAGGCTTCCTAGTCACGAAGCCTACGGTATTTGTTCGGGTAGAATATTTTGGGTGTTTTGACTCTTACTTCGTCCAGGCACACTTTTCTGCGCTTGGATCCTGGGCTTGTGTCCTCCTTGGAACCTCATCCGACCATCGTACCCCAAATGCTCCTGAGCAGGATTCATACCTGAGGGGTACACCTTCCCTCTGCGCGTGATTTTCACGAGCATCAGCGGTGACGGGATTGTGACTGATCCGCTATCAGGCGAGCGACTGCATTGCATCGTTGCTGTGACTAGACCATGAAAAAGGGAATCCCCGTTAATCTGTTGCAGGCATCAAAATGTCAAAATGTCTCGCCACATCTTATCCCAAGGGCTGCAGGCAATGTCCCATACTAGTGGAGGATGCCCCTACGCAGAAGTGCCTGCGGGACAACCAATCCAGGATTGCTCGTAACATATCTCATTCTGCCTAAGAGCGCGCAGGAGTGCTGAATTGGGAAAAGCCTCAGCTAGGATTCCTTACGACTAGGTGCCAGGGAGCATCTGGACGTAATGCCGGGGTTCTCCGGTAACCCCCAACCCCAAACAAGGTATTGACAGTCAACACGATTGTTATACGGTCCTCATTTTCAGTTACCAGACAGTCCTCATTTTAGAGCGCACGTTGATCCACTATCCAAGCCGCAGGTTTTTGGGTTTGCAAAGTGTGTTTCTTCTGGACGCAATGTTTTGGGGGACCCCAAGCGCTAAGCCCTAAACCCTGAGACCCTAAACCCGAATATCTAAACTAAACCATGAACCGTAAAACCCTAACAGAGGATTCCTAGCATTCTGCTCTCCCCATAGAGCCCAAGCTTGGGCAACAAAAGCCCCACCCCAAAAAACAAAATTCTACATGAGCTATATGGTTTAGGATTTAAGGGTTTAGGGTAGGGTTTAGGACTTATGATTTAGGGTTTAGGTTTAGGGTCTAAAGTTCTTAAAGTGAGGGGGATTATTTAGGGGACTACTATAGGGGTTACTAAGGTTCATACCAGGAGTTTAGACTATGGCTCATGTACCCACAGTTTCCATTTCATTTTCTATGTTTTTCCATCTTGTTTTCCGTTTGATTCTCCATTTTTGTGGTATCATTGCTACTACTACTACTACTACTACTGCTGCTACTACTACTTATCACTATCACTACTACCGTAAGCTCCTGGGATTTAGTGTTTGCGGTTGACCTCCTTGCAGTGCAAGTTCGAAGAGTCAAGCACTCCAGACCTTCAGGCCTCATCAGCTCTACCTACTTGAGTAGTATTTAATTTGGGGGTACTATGGTACTCATTATACAGTAAGATTATATTCTCCTTTTGGGGTATAGTATTTTATATGAGGGATATAATCTTACTGAGTTGAACCGCCAAAAAACGCTACTCACTTGGTTGTATGGTTGGATATGGCCCCCACCCAATAACAGTTGGATAATAGATATAATATGGTTATATATACCCCTGAATAGGACCCCTAACATAGACTGTTACTGGGTGGGGGAGGTACCCAATTTTATGGCTTCCGTTT